CAGAATAGAGGCACACAGAGGAGCGGCCCTGGTGGGAGCAAGATGGTTCACAGTGAGGAGTCTCTGCCAACATCTGAGGATAGGGTAAGAGAGGACACTCGCACCCGATCCACCATTCACATATTCGGAGATGACACAGATTGCTGCAGATCTGAAGAGATCGTTCACAGCTGCCATAACCGATTTGAAGGAAGATCTCCTATCTCTCTCTGAGCAATTAATAACTGTGAAACATGCCACACACCTGATTAATGTGAATTGCCACCTAGAAGATCTAGATCAGTGTTTTTCAACCTTTTTTCAGTCAAGGCACCCTTTAAAATTATGGACAGTCCCGAGGCACCCTTTAAAATTATGGACAGTCCCGAGGCACCCTTTAAAATTATGGACAGTCCCGAGGCACCCTTTAAAATTACAGACAGTCCCGAGGCACCCCATTCTAAAATGTGAAACTATTCTAATAGTTTTATATAACGCAGCAACATCCAGACATGTAGGACACCCAACATTAGAGGGGATTTACTCTTTCAAAGCAAATACACTTCTGCACACTGGTACTGACTAGTATACCAATGTTTTCCTTCTCTGTTTTTCTCCAGCACTGACTGAGAGAGGCAGAGGAGGATCAAACTAGGATGCTATGCAGGCTGCTCACAACCACCTTATTAACTGATGATGTCATTGGTTGTCAGGACGCCGATGACTAGAAGGTCGTAATGGTGCACTATGAAAACCTGTGGCTTTGTGTAACTAAAAGGCAGGCTTGTTCCACCCGTTGGCTTGTATACAAGTTTTGGGCAATTTTTGGACATTTTGCCAAGGCACCCTTGAAGAAACCTCAAGGCAGCCCCGGGTGCCTGGTCACCCTGGTTGAGAGGCTGATCTAGATAACAGAGGGAGACTGCATAACATCAGAGTCAGAGGCATCCCTGAATCTGTGTCTGCTGAACAGCTCATGTCAGCCTTACAATCCATCTTCAATAATCTGTTAGAGTGCCCTGCGGACACTGTCGTTGATTTTGAGAGAGCACACAGAGTCCTTAGGCAAAGAGGGGACGGATGGCTTCCCTCCCAGAGACATTATTTGCTGTGTTGCCAATTTCACAAAATGAGCCAACAAAATCAACGCATTACTTTTAACAGTGATGAACTTGCCCTCTTTCAGGATCTCTCCCCTATTACGCTGAAACATAGAAGAGCATTACACCCCCTACTGGCCGTTATGCAAGGGGAGAGGATTCTTTACAGATGGCGGTTTCCTTTTGCCTTACAAGCGACTCTGAATGGCAAACACTATCTGCCCAGACTGCCTGCTGACCTTCGGGGTTTCTGTGACGACCTCCAACTTCCGCATGTCGAACTTCCTGAATGGTATGAGGAATTTTGACTTCCATCAGCAGTGCCTGCCACTTCAAGCATGCCTCCGCAAACCCCTTCCAAAGCACAGTTCAGGAAGACCAGGCACCAGAAGCAGGCCGGTCCGGGCTCCAGTTTATCCTCACCGAAGTCCAAACAACGCAGAGCTAGAGAGGATTTAGATGATACCTGACTGTGCTTAGTCAATCTTTGTCCTCTCTTCTCTTTTGAAGACCTTACTGTCCTCTTCCAGAAAGATGAGGAGTTGGGGGTTCCCGTGTTCGGGGGGGTGGTCTTTCATGCGGCTAACCTCCAGATCTGGCCTCCCTGGATGCGTGTTCGTCCTAGCTTCCTGTGTTACTGCCCAATATTGGTAGCCTGATTATAGGTAGTCTGTTTAATCAGCCAGGTGCAGCTATTTTATATTGCTTACGTCCTGATGGCCGGGCTGCTATCTATAAATGGCCATCAGGGCCCATATGGTCTAATAGTTTTGTGCCCATTGGCTTTTTGTTTGAAATTGTTGCACTTATATAAGGGTTATTTCTACTGATTGCAAATGCTTCTTGGATATATGCTGACCCCTGTGATATAGTTCTTGCAAATACCTGAAACATGCATTTAATATTTGTGTTGTTGACTCTGGACTCAGATCTCCCTTCATGTTTTGACATCTGTTTAATATCATCTTTGCCGTCTTTAGGTTGTATCATACAATAGGCCAGTGGTGGCGAACCCGTGGCACGCGTGCCACAGCCGGCACGCCGAGCCTTATCTGTGGGCACGCCAGGAGAATCCAGCGGCGCGCTGTCTTCCCGGCTGTAGTGTGCGTGACAGCCGGGTCCCAAGTGCGCATGCACAAGAAGCAGTGCTCCTTGTGAATGGTAAGGCGGTACCTGGGACACATGACAGATCCCAGAAGCCGCCGGACCAATCACAAAGCGCAGCGCTTCTCGCGCATGCGCACTGGGCATCCGGCTGTCCGACGAGCGCCCACACTACAGAAGCCGGGAAGACAGCGAGCGGCTGGATCGAGGAACAGGTAAGATAAAAAAAAAAAAACTCTGCGGAAGTAAGAGCGGGTACCTGTCAAATTCAGGTACCCGCTCCCCCTCCCTCCCCAAAGGTCAGCAGTCATCCCTGTGCTGTGTCCCCAGTCTCTGGTCATCCCCGTGCTGTGTCCCCAGTCTCTGGTCATCCCCGTGCTGTGTCCCCAGTCTCTGGTCATCCCCGTGCTGTGTCCCCAGTCTCTGGTCATCCCCGTGCTGTGTCCCCAGTCTCTGGTCATCCCCGTGCTGTGTCCCCAGTCTCTGGTCATCCCCGTGCTGTGTCCCCAGTCTCTGGTCATCCCCGTGCTGTGTCCCCAGTCTCTGGTCATCCCCGTGCTTGTCCCCAGTCTCTGGTCATCCCCGTGCTGTGTCCCCAGTCTCTGGTCATCCCCGTGCTGTGTCCCCAGTCTCTGGTCATCCCCGTGCTGTGTCCCCAGTCTCTGGTCATCCCCGTGCTGTGTCCCCAGTCTCTGGTCATCCCCGTGCTGTGTCCCCAGTCTCTGGTCATCCCCGTGCTGTTCCCCAGTCTCTGGTCATCCCCGTGCTGTGTCCCCAGTCTCTGGTCATCCCCGTGCTGTGTCCCCAGTCTCTGGGCATCCCTGTGCTGTGTCCCCAGTCTCTGGTCATCTCCTGTGCTGTGTCCCCAGTCTCTGGTCATCTCCTGTGCTGTGTCCCCAGTCTCTGGTCATCCCTGTGCTGTGTCCCCAGTCTCTGGTCATCCCTGTGCTGTGTCCGCAGTCTCTGGTCATCCCTGTGCTGTGTCCGCAGTCTCTGGTCATCCCTGTGCTGTGTCCGCAGTCTCTGGTCATCCCTGTACTGTGTCCGCAGTCTCTGGTCATCTCCTGTACTGTGTCCGCAGTCTCTGGTCATCCCTGTACTGTGTCCGCAGTCTCTGGTCATCCCTGTACTGTGTCCGCAGTCTCTGGTCATCCCTGTACTGTGTCCGCAGTCTCTGGTCATCCCTGTACTGTGTCCGCAGTCTCTGGTCATCCCTGTACTGTGTCCGCAGTCTCTGGTCATCCCTGTACTGTCCGCAGTTCTGGTCATCCCTGTACTGTGTCCGCAGTCTCTGGTCATCCCTGTACTGTGTCCGCAGTCTCTGGTCATCCCTGTACTGTGTCCGCAGTCTCTGGTCATCCCTGTACTGTGTCCGCAGTCTCTGGTCATCCCTGTACTGTGTCCGCAGTCTCTGGTCATCCCTGTACTGTCCGCAGTCTCTGGTCATCCCTGTACTGTTAATTAGTTTGCACTACTGTACGAGTTGTTTTTTCTAAACCAAAAGCTCGATATTCAGGTTTCATTGCAGTGTTGGCACTTTGAAAGAAATAAGTTGGTTTTGGGTTGCAGTTTGGGCACTCGGGCTCAAAAAGGTTCGCCATCACTGCAATAGGCACTATTTTTCCTTAGTGACTGATGGCTTTGCCTGTGCGATAGTCCCTCCCATTAGCCCCGCAATTTGGCACACTACCACTTTGTGTTGCACATTACAACATTTAACATTCCTGCTTACTTCTGCTGTATACTTATTTAACCTTGCGATAACAGTACTTTATCCCTACACCATTTTTCTCTTGCTTTTATTGGTTTGCAGTATCCTATAGGTTAGTGATAAACAAGATATTTATTTCTCTCTGCACGTTTGTTTGGAGTAGGCCCACTCCTGCATTCCTTATGGTTTCTTCTTGTCATCTCCCCCCCCCCCCTTTATTTTTTTTGTTTTCTTCTCTTTTTTTTTCACTGGCATGTGTCGCAAACGTGCGCACCAGAGACTGACGCAATCCTCCATTTTGTTAAGAATCTCCATGTTGTCCCTCATTTTTCCCCCTTTCCTCTCTGTTAATCAACAGGGACATATGTGTGTTGGAAGGGTCACAGGCAGGCTAGAGCACGGTAGGGAGCCCAGAGCTATAAAACATCTCTCTGAGCAAGGTGCCTGGCTGTCTAAGCGACCTCTGCCATTTAACACCTCGTAAAAAGATAACGGAGCCTTCCCAATACCTAAACGGGGCATTGGTCCTTGACTTCAGAGATACCCCCTGCTGGGGAACTACAAATTGGGCTGTCAGGCCTAAGAGAGTGAGTTGAAGACATCTCCCATTTTAACATCAGTACCACCTGGGGCGACCCGTGCCCTTTCGCTCTGAAACTTGGATCTGCTAACCCAGGACTTTGGCAAGTACCTTAACCCTTTAACCTCTCTGTGATATCTCTTTGCTGTACTGTTGGTCTCTGTATATTTATATATATATATCTTAGTTACCGTATGTTTCGCTCCATAAGACGAACCTGACCATAAGACGCACCTAGGTTTTAGAGGCGAAAAACAAGAAAAAAAAATATTCTGAACCAATGGACTGCAGACATAGTACAGGGAATGACCAGAGACTGCGGACACAGTACAGGAGATGACCAGAGACTGCGGACACAGTACAGGAGATGACCAGAGACTGCGGACACAGTACAGGAGATGACCAGAGACTGCGGACACAGTACAGGAGATGACCAGAGACTGCGGACACATACAGGAGATGACCAGAGACTGCGGACACAGTACAGGGAATGACCGGAGACTGCGGACACAGTACAGGGGATGACCAGAGACTGCAGACACAGTACAGGGGATGACCAGAGACTGCGGACACAGTACAGCAGATGACCAGAGACTGCGGACACAGTACAGGAGATGACCAGAGACTGCGGACACAGTACAGGAGATGACCAGAGACTGCGGACACAGTACAGGAGATGACCAGAGACTGCGGACACAGTACAAGAGATGACCAGAGACTGCGGACACAGTACAGGAGATGACCAGAGACTGGACATAGTACAGGGGATGACCAGAGACTGCAGACACAGTACAAGAGATGACCAGAGACTGGACATAGTACAGGGAAAATACCAGGGACACAGTACAGATGACCAGAGACTGCAGACAGTGCAGGGAATAACCAGAGACTGCAGACAGTGCAGGGGATGACCAAAGACTGCAGACAGTGCAGGGGATGGCCAGAGACTGCTGACCTTTAGGGAGGGAGGGGGAGTGGGTACCTGAATTTGACAGGTACCCGCTCCCACTTCCGCGGTGTTGTCTTTCTCTCTTCTTCCCGCGCCGGCTTCTGTGACAGCCGGGTGCCCACTGCGCATGCGCGACAAGCGCTGCGCTTTGTCAATGGCCCGGCGCCTTCTGGGACCTGTCATGTGTCCCAGAAAACACTGGACCATTCACAAAGCGCAGCGCATGCGCAGTGGGCACCCGGCTGTCACAGAAGCCAGCGCGGGAAGACTGTGCAGCGCAGGAGCGAGGAACAGGTAAGGCCTTGCAGGAGAGAACAGCTGAGCAGCCGGCCCGGTATTCTGACATGGTGGAGGCAGAAATACCGGACCGGTCGCTTTATATTCGCTCCATAAGACGCACTGACATTTTCCCCCCCTTTTTTTGGGGGAAAAAAGTGCGTCTTATGGAGCGAAAAATACGGTACATCTTTTTCTGTAAATATTTTTATTGCACCTGTTTGGCCTTTTAGTAATAAATTTTTCCTCCTAAAGTGTTGAACTGTTTCTGTAGCACTTTATTGCAATTTACGAATTCCTGCCTCTAAAGAGAACGCTACTGTGTTTGTTTAACCCTCCGTATAACCGTGTTATACAGACGATTACCTCAACCATTCTAGTGGTATTGCTGATATCGCCAAGTTTCCTTTTTCTCTGTACAAAAAGGAGGTGGTGGCAGTATGAAGGGTTAATTGCGTAATTAACCTGACCCAGTAACAATCGATTCAGGGTGCCGGTGCATCGATTGTGGTCCAATTAGCTGGAAAATCCTTGTGCAGGGTGCAGCTGAGTGTGGCATTGTTACGCACGTGACATCGCGGTTTTAGATCGGCTAGTCGTTCGGTCACGAGTTTGGGGAGAAGGTCTGGGGTCTGACGCCGCGATCGTGACAGCATGGCCTACTCAAATATAGGAAACAAGCCCCTGCTTATCCCTTACAATGTCAGGAGCTTAAATGTTCCGAGAAGCGATCCCAACTGTTATGTGAACTTGACAAAGTCAAGCCTTCCATAGTGTTTCTGCAGGAAACGCATTTTAAAACTGGTCAGATACCGAAGTTGTCAAGTAAATACTTTACAAAAGCATACCATTCTACTAATGTCTTGGCTAAGACTAAGGGGGTCACCATATTGCTCAGTAATTAGGCACAGATTTTGATCACAGACCAATCAACTGACCCGGAGGGTAGATACGTCTTCTTAAACGGCTCATGGGCAGGTACGCCGATCCCCTTGACCAATGTCTACTTCCCCAACTCAGCCCACATCTCCTTTTGTCAGCAAATTGTTGATGAGCTTAAAGGGTTCACGTCTGATTGCTTAACTCTAGGGGGAGACCAACATTCCTCTTGACCCTGCTTTAGACACGTCTACCAGGACAACTTGCATTGCATATAAAAATCTTACAAAAGATTAAGCTACTCCTGAGATCTTTGCAGCTTATAAACGTTTAACCCCACTGGCCGTGATTACACGTGCTACTCTCCATTGCACAATCGTTATGCTAGGATTGGTTATCTTTTTATCTCACAGAGAGACCTCCCGCAGCTGCTTGACGCTAAGATTGCGATCCAATCCTTGTCAGACCATGCCCCAATAACGCTTAGTTTGACTCTCCCTGGCCGGGTAGCTAAGACGTTTAACTGGAGACTTAACCCTGCCTTGTTGACTAATGCGTTGTTCGCACAGTACTTATTAAATGGGGCGCTAGACGGAAACGGGAACAGAAGAATTGCGGAAATTTCCGCAAACATCGCAAAACTTGAATCCCAGCATAAACTATCCCTTGCAAATTATATGGCGGCTGCACTTCAGAAGGCGCGGTTGGAATTACAGGCTATTCTAGACACTAATTACAAGCGTTCCTTATTCTTTCAAAAAACTAGTTTATTATGAGGGAGCAAATAAAGGTGGGCATTTCTTGGCCAGTGCCTTGCGTGAGGCTAAGCTAAATGAAAATATTCATGGGGTCAGGCACTCGAAAGGTACCCTAGAACATGATGGTAAAGTGATAGCTTCATTGTTCCATCAATATTACACCAACCTGTATAATTTGCTCCACTCACACCCCCAAAGATCTTAAAGGTGAAAAACTTGACTTAATTGAGGAAGCAAACTGCCCTCCCTAAACCGCTCAGATGTGAAATTGCTAGAATGCCCCATTGGGGAGGCGGAACTGGCTAATGCTATCAAAAGCTTAAAACCGGGGAAAAGCCCAGGCCCAGATGGGTTGACGTCACAGTATTATAAGACCTTTAGTTCTCTGCTCTCTACGCCTCTACTCCAGACCTTTAACTCTCCAACTACGTTTCAGCCAATACCCCCTCTTTCTCTTTTGCACATATTACTGTTACCCCCCAATGCTGAATGCACTAGCTACAGACCTATTTCCCCACTCAACACTCACATAAAACTGCTTGCAAAAATTCTGGCTAACTGGCTTAGGCCTTGTCTCTCTATCATTGGCCCAGAACAAGTCGGTTTCATGCCGGGTAGGGAAGCACGTGACAATATTGTCAAGATCCTTAACCTAATCTATAGGATGCATGTTGAGGGCCTTCTGCTGATGCGGAGAAGGCCTTTGATCGTGTGTCTTGGGACTTGATCGTGTGTCTTGCCCGTGTGCTCATATCGGATTGGCACCTAACATGCTGAATTGGATCGCTGTACTGTATCAAAACCCCACGGCTAAGATCAAGGTCAATGGCACGCTCTCTGACACAATCACTATTAAGAATGGAAGTAGACAGGGTTGTCCACTTCCCTTCTCCCCTTCTGTTCATTCTCACCCTTGAACCCTTCATTTGGCTGGTTCAGCAAAATGAGGCGATTCATGGATTTCGCATTAACAATGAGACTTACAAAATGGCGGCATACGCGGATGACCCGTTATTTTCATATCCCAACCCCACATATCCGTTAACCTTTTGAGCTTATTCGTCCGCTACCATTTCCTCTCGAGTTTGAAAACTTAACTACACTAAGTCAGAGGCCTTGAATTTAACTGTCCGCTCTTCATCCTTAGCCCTCATTAAGCAAAATTGCTCTTCCAAATGGGTCCCCCTAGCCCTTAAATATTTAGGTATTTGGCTTACTCCAAATTTGGCGGATTCGCACAAGCAAAACTTTGTCCCCTTATTACGCAAGATTTGGAACGATCTTAAAACCTAGCACGCAAAAACCTTCTTCTGGTTTTGCAGAGCAGGATCATCAAAATTAATATTCTTCCTCGGATACTGTACTCTATGAATGCTTTCCCTATTAGGCTCCCCTCCATCTTTCTTAAGCAATTACAGAGAGCCTTTGTGTGGGCCAATAAAAAACGGATTTAATTTCAACTAATCGCGCGCACTAAAAGTTCCAATGGTATTGGGTTGCCAGACTTTAAGCGCTTCCATACAGGGCACTTTTACCCCCTTCCTGCCCAGGCCATTTTTCAGGTTTCAGCGCTCTCACACTTTGAATGACAATTGCGTGGTCATATAACACTGTACCCAAACTAAAATTTTATTATTTTCTTCACACAACTAGAGCTTTCTTTTGGTGGTATTTAATCACCGCTGGGGTTTTTATTTTTTGCTAAATTAAAAAAAGACTGAAAATGTTGAAAAAAAAACATGTTTTTCTTTGTTTCTGTTATAAAAGTTTGCAAATAAATAATTGTTCTTCATAAATTTTAGGCCAAGATGTATTCTGCTATATGTCTTTGGTGAAAATAACTCAAATTGGGATGTATTATTTAGTTTGTAGGAAAGTTATAGAGTTCACAAACTATGGGATATATCTGAAAATTGATCAATCCTGAAGTACTGACGGCCAATCTAATTTCTTGAGGTCAAAGAATGTCAGAACAGTACAGATATCCCCCAAATTACCCCTTTTTGCAAAGTAGACAGTCCGACGTACTTCATAAGAGGCATGGCGAGTTTTTTGAAGTTGTAATTTTTTTGTCGTAATTTTTCGGAAAATGAAAAAATTAAAAAAATTATTTTCACAGTTTTTTTTTTTTTACATACTGTTACCAGTGCAGTACAGCATCATCATATAACTGGCATGGTGGAGATCAGGGACACTGATTGGTGACAGTACGAAAAAAAAAAAAAATTGATAATTTTTTTTTTATTTATTTTATTATTTTTATTTTTTTATTACGTTTTCTCTTTTTTAAGATTTTTTTTTTTCTTCATATTTCACTATGACCAAAGTAGTATAATGTTACCATAGTAACATTGCACTACTTTGTGGAAGTGATCAGTATTTTTTTTTTTACACAATTTGCTTATAGCAAAGAATTACTTTGCTACAAGCAAGCATTTACCTGAATGAAATCGATTTATTCAGGGTCTTTTTTTTGTGCTTAGCTGTGATTTGGCCATGGCTAATCACATGACACAGCTGGGCTGTGATTGGCCCAGCTTGTGCATGTGATCGCTATGACCATTCACAGCTAGACACACTTGTATACAATGGATGGCATGAAAGGAAGCCATCCATTGTATACAACTGTCATGTGACCTGGTGTGATTGGTCACAGCAGGTCACATGGTATTGGAAACGGGGCCGGTACACAGATCTATCATCGGCCATGCCCGAGGTACATGGCCAGTGACAGATCATGCTGCAGAGCGGCCCTGCGGGCAGGCGCATTGCGCACACCTGATAGGACGCCCTGTGGCGTCCACCCGGAGGGACGAGGTGTTTTGCCGGCCGCCTTTGTGCTATTGGCCGGGCGGGAACCGGTTAAAAAGTATTATTATGCTACTCACATTACCAGAATCATAGACTGGAATCGTCATTCCATACATAAACACTGGGTTTCCCTTGAAAGCTCCTACTCTTCAGCTCTTTTAAGATTTTCACCATGTTTGTCAAAGTCTACC